CTTATGAGTTTGATGAATAAAAACTAGTTTACTATTTAACAGTTCTTTTTCAATGTGGTGCAGGTGAGGGTGAGTGTGCCCATAAAGTAACTCACTCTTATCCTTAAGGAATGACAAATTTCATAGAGGAAAGAAAAACTAAAACCCTGTAGCGTGCAGGAGTCTCATTGGATGCGTGTGAGGGTAGCTTCTTCCCGTGGCGCGACGTGCATCAGCTTGGCCGTGCTTTGCAGAACTCCAGAGCTGTTTCAGCTGATGCCAATGTGAGGCCATGACTTTTCACGGGTGTAAGAGTCTCCAGTTAAACTCTGTGCACATGTGCGCACGTGCGTGCGTGTGTGTGTGTGTGCGTGTGTGTGTGCGTGTGTATGTGTGTGCGTGCATGCATGTGTGTGCATGTGTGTACGTGTGCGTGTGTGTGTGTGTGAGAAGTACTCCGAGATCCTTTAGGTTAGATGGGAGCACAAGAGGAGAGGATAGATATATCGATTCAGCAAATATATGGAACATTGAATACACGCCCCATGCTGTGCTGGACCCCGTAGTAACAAATACACGACTCCTTTTTCAATAGATTTTGCATTCTAATGGGAAAGACGGAAAATGGAGAAATGATAGATAGAGACAGACAGACAGACAGGGACAGTCAGATAGGAAAATCTCGGATAATGTGAGGAGAATTGCGTGGGGGCGCAATTAGGTCCTAAGCACAGCAGTCAGTGGACAGCGGGGGCGACGCGCTCGGGGAGGTCTGGTGGGTGAGACACAGAGTCATGCACGGGGGCGGGGGAGCCCCGACCTCCGCCCCAGCAAGGCGCGTGCTGGGCCCGGGGCCACGTGGCTCTGTGCGATGGCAGCGTGCAGCGGGAGCTGGTGTCCGTCACTGGCTATTTCTGCCCGCTCTGTTCTTTTATTGATGGAAACCCAGACGCTTATAGAGATTTCCTGCCAGAAAGGGAGACACGTACAGCCACAGCTCGAGACGAAGGGAAGGCAAGCGAACCAGCGAAACACAGAACTTCGGTGTGACCGCCCCACGTGGGGCTTGGTCCACAGCAGGAGGCGAGGTCGTCTGCCCACTGCCCCTGGCGACAGCCCATGGAGGGAGCGTCAGCGCGTGTCCATCCGCTGCTGCCCCTCCCCGCACGCGGGAGGCCCTCCGCCTCCAGCTCCTTCGTGAAACCGAGCTCTGCTCAGCTTCCTGGGCCCTCAGGAGACTGGGGACGCATGCCAGTGGGAACGGGGGCGTCCGAGTGGCCTCCCAAAGCTCCTGTCGCAAGCGCCCATGATGGATGAGACACGGCACTTGAACCTGGCCCAGCGGCCACGTGGCAGCATCTCCCCGGCAGCTCGTCCTGCGGTTGGCAAGGATGTCTTAGCTGAATTCTAGCCACCTCGTGGCCACCTCGTGGCCAGCTGTCCCACCTGCTACCTGTGCTGGACAACCATCGTCCCATGGGGTCCCACCTGCCCCCTGCACCGGACGACCATCGTCCCGTGGGGCCACATCGGGGCTCCAGGGCCCTGTCGCAGAGGTGAACGGGGCAGCCCAGTGTTCATTCGTGAAGCGTTATCATTTAACTTGCAGAAGTCTACGTGTTTTTAGTCTTATCAACTCAGACTTTTCCTTTTTCCTTTACGTCACTTCTTCGGATCATTCTTTTCACATTGAAACAAAACACTCTTTAAATAATTCTTTAAAATTAATCCTGTTGTTTGAAGTTTTGTTCAGCCAAGGTAAAGATATGGGATGTGTTAATAAATTAGCTGAAACTTAAACACCTGTAAAAGAGCCCCTTTCTTCTCACGCAAAATAACCTCTGCACTGAATGAGCATGCGAAAAAGAACACCATTTTCATTTTATCTGGGACTCATAATCTCATCGATCCGTTACCTCCAGAGTTTTATCGTGTCAGAAAAGGACCTAACTCGAAGTTGCATTTCTTCAGATATAACCCGCTTCCTCTTCCGGGTCTGTGTCTGAGATCTCACTGGGGGAGGGTGGTTTCCGCGCGCTGAACGGCACGGCGAGAAGACTCGCCCCGTTTCTTCGCCCCGCCTTACGCGGGTCATACGTGCTGTGCTGTTTCACACTCTCTTCTCCGCACGAATCAGGTGCAAAACCATGTGCCTTCCATTATTTTTCTAATTATCGATCCTGAACCCTTTGTTCTGGTTATATCCTGACAGGCTTTCATATCTTCAGCTTTTGTCTGTAGATCTATAATTTTCTCTTGCAATTATCTAAGCTTTCGGTCCTTCAGAGTTCCAGCTAAATTACTCCACGTCTCTCCCGTTGGTAGATTCCAGCGTTCTGTAAATAGTGATTCTGCATTTTGACACACTTGATAATGCTCTGACACGTTCTGTAGGATCGTATCGCGATTCTTCAATTTCCGGTCTCGTTTTTAATAAGTTGCTATCCTGTGTCACCCATCTGAGACTATGTCAGTAATTTTCTAGATGATGCAGGCGGTTCTCTGGCTGCTTCAGTCCAGGGCTGAGGAGTCCTCCCGGGGGTCTCTAAGGCGTGCCCACTCCCCCCGCAGAGCGTGTTTAACGCGCCTCCGTCGCTGCTGCTCACCCCAGGTGAGCTGTGATCTCGTGGTTGTGCTGTGGGTCGTCTCCGTATCTGGGACAAGTTTCATGTCATGCTGGTGGCTTTTCCTTGAGGGATTTCGTCTGTCATGTTAGTGTCCATCGCACTTGACTTGTTCCTTCCTGAGATTTTGTGGAGCCCTCTCTCCTCCTTCAGATCCCTTACTAATTCAAAAGAAATATGCACTTCTGTTTTCGTTGTGGCATCATTTACGCCAGCCAAGATGAGGCGGCGACGGATGTCCATCCACAGACGCGTGGGTGAGGAGGAGGTGGTGCGTGTGTACAACGGGATGTGACATAGCAACGACGTGGATGGACCTAGAGAGTGTCGCACTGAGTGAAGTAAGTCAGCCGGAGAGACAGATTCCGCGTGGTCTCACTTAGACGTGGAATCTGAAAACAAAATCAAACAAAAAACAGGTTCGGAGTTGCCGTTTACAGAGGATGAATAAATCTAAGCAGTAACCTACAGCACAGCGACCACCGTCGATAATCCCGTGCTGAAGGCTGGACGTTGGCTGAGAGACGGCTTCAGGTGCTCTCACCATGCAAAAACGTGGCTGTGTGAGGACGTGTCGATTCGCTTGGCCGTAGTAATCACTTCCCTATAGCAAATCTTAATGCAATACGCCTTAAATACACACGCTTTTTTATTAAAGCTGCATCCTCCTGTCGAAATCACTTTTCGTTTGCATCTCTCGCTTTGCTTGATTGAGAGTTCATGGTGCGTTTCTTCACAAACGCACATTTTGCTTTTGTATTTGTAGACTGGCATATTCCGACAAACTAGACCAGACCAGGTCTACTACAAGTTCTCTGTTATTAGTGTGGAGTAACCATAGTCCGTTGACCACGCCGCTGATGATCTTTCAAGCTAATTACCTGCAAAAGCCTGACATCCTTTGCCTTGGCTTGAAAGAATTACAAATGGCCATTTTATGCTCCTAATGAAAGCAGGCTCCCTACCTGTGGCTCATTACCAGTCAGCCAGCGTGCCCTCGGGTCTTGCTGGATTAGCTCTGCCTCCCAGCGGGGCTGTCACACGGGTGGAGACTGAATAAACGAGACCTCTGGGTCTCCGTGTGGATTCTTTAGTTCTTCTGTTCTCTCCTATTTGATGGGGTCACTTACAAATCAACCATGACAAAGAGCATAAAGTGAGAGAGAACTGTCCTCGGGTACGAGCGTCGTACGCCGTATTCGTACTGGTTTGCGACAGCCGTCGGCCTCCACACCCTCTGCAGTCAGATGGCTAAGAGGGTACATTCCTGCAAAACGGCAATTTGAAAGAGCAGATTTTTAAAATAAATTATCATGGCTGTGTCACTAATTTCAGTAAGAATTTCAGGTAGCAAATTCGTGTGCTCCATACGTGCGTCGCGGGGAGGCGCTCCCAAGCAGAGCTCAGCCAGAACCGCGATGCCACACAAGACATCGGTCAGAAGCCACGCTCCCCAGTGCCACTCACTCCCGCCCTCCCGTGCGTTTAGCAGATGGGCACCTGGGGCCTCTTCACGAGGGTCCCCTGCGTTGTGGTTTCTGTGCCGCCCGGGCTGTCTTCTCGTTCCGTCCATTTCTTTCTGTTTCTCTCTATCTATCCCTACCTATCTACCTATCATCCATCTGTCTATCTATCATCTATCTACCTATCATCCTCTCTCTCTCCGTGTCATCCAGGGTTTGTTATACCATCTCCAACTCACTTTTCCCTTCGCTGCCATATTGATCACCAAAGGAAGCATTACGTCTCCCAGGCGAAAGGCTCCTGTGCTCTCAGAGAGAAGTTCATAGTCCCTGGAGCCGCGGGTACCGTGTGTCACACAGCAGCTGGCTTGTCTGCAGGTCCCGGTGCTGATCACGGGATCAAACTGTTCTTAAAACAAGACACGCCACAGCTTGGCCATGTGGAGCACAGAGGGTGACCTTCTAACCTCAGAAGGACTCTTTGCATATGCTAATATAAATAAATACGTGAAATCTGCCTACATTACTCTAAAAGTGTTTATTTCTTGGTTCTGAGTATCCTCGAAATACATCTCACTAACTACAGTCCACATTTCTTATGCTTGTGCTGAGTATATCTTTCGGTCATTCCAGACACTGTAAGTGTTAAAATAAATATTTGACAGATATTCAACTTAAAGCGTAGGTTAATTTCATTTTAGAGCTGATAATACATGTCTTGGAAGCAGTAGCAGTTTTGAATTCCATAAAGTTCTGTAATCGAGGGCTCTCAAATGCCTACGGACGTCCACATCATTTCTTTAAAAGCCACTCGAGGTCCCCGGAAATTCAGCAGCGGTAAGGAGCGAACTCCATACCGCACCCGGATGCTTGCGACGTTTAGGTCCTGGGCCGTCGCTGTTACGCTAAGTCTCCCTCTCTGCCTTTGACGCAGGTCATCAAGCTCGCCTTCGAGGAGTTCGAGCTGGAGCGCGGCTACGACACCCTCACGGTGGGCGACGCCGGGAAGGTGGGCGACGCCAGGACGGTCCTGTACGTGTAAGTGTGCGCTTTACGCTCCTCTGCCCGCCACACGCGGCCGGCCCGGCGCAGGCCCCAGTCCCGGCTCCGGAGTCTGACGGTGTCGCCCACGGGAAGTCGAAGGCATTCCAACTGTGGCTTCCCATGGGAACCTACTTAGGATTGTATAAATGTTTTTTTTCCCCCCTCAAAAAAAATTGTTTTAATAATGTGGCAATAAGTAGAATTGACAGACACGTAGAAAGTAGAAACGATGAGCTGCTCAAAGCGACCCTCCCTCTCGGCCCCCGGGCCTCTTCCCTGCGGTAGCACACGGTCAGGGCAGCTGTCTGTTTTCTAGAATAGTGCCACGTGTCTTGCAGAACCCCTTGCGCTCCGTGAGACGGCCTCCTAAGAGAGGCAGGGACCGTGGGGAAACGGAGTCGGGGTGACTCGCGGTACCTCCGTGGAAGTCAGCACCCCGCGTCCTGGCAAAGTCCAGGCAGCCTCAGTGTGCGGACGGTACGTGCGTCCTGCGCTGGCACCTGCCACACGGGTCACGGGCTGCTCTGTGGCTTCACGCTGGGCGCCGGTCACCTGCACACGCAGGCCGTGCGGGCGGTCCCGGCGGTGGCTATGACATCCGGTCTATCAGAATCGGAACGCTCACGCCGGGCCGTCTTCGCTCGCCGGCATCGTCGGCACGGAGGGAGATGCCCGCGCAGCCTCCTCACCTGTTCCGCACACCGTGCAGGTAGTGTCCTGCCGTGGCTCCTGAGATGACCAGGCCGGACATGGCTTCCGCTCCGAGAAGCGACTGCACAGTGCCCTCCTGCTTTCTCTGCGTCTGCTATGCATGCCTGGGGTTTTCTCTGGATTTGTGAGAAAGCTTGCCCCAGGGAACTAACTACGTGTTATTCTGCTAGAAAACAGAACCACACAAAGCACACGCCGGCAGTAAGGAGAAGGGGCGCCGGCCGTCACGCACACGCACACGCGCCCGCGTTCGGGCGTTCCCATGACGTAGTCCACAGTGTGACACGCAGCATGGCAGCCCTGCCGTCTGCGCCCACAGAATCCACGGGCCTCCCTCACCGACTCTGGAGACACACCCTTTCCATGGACGACAGCCCGGACACCTTTCCCTGAGCACGCGCCCTGTCCGACCTTCCAATTAGTCCGCTGCTGCTGCCGCTGCCAATAACAATCACAGCCATGTCCCAGCCTGCCACTGAGGATGCCGAGCACTGGTCCCAGCGCAGCTAACGTTCATCACCGCCTCTCATTCACCGTGCGCTGTGCCGAGTGCCCAGAGCGTGTCGCCTCCCTCGGCCCCCGCCTTCCTCCTGTGAGTCAGGGGTTCATGGGAGCCTCGTCACGTGACGGTGTCGGTGAGGCTGAGGGTCAGCCCCGCGCACACTCTCGGAGTCCGTGGGAGCAGGCGGTCGCTCCCCGGCACCTGCTCCTGCGTCGGCAGCCACACGGCTGCCGTGCGCACCGTTCTCTGATGGCACGCATGGTCCAGTCCTGGGCCCCCCCTCACCTGCAAACAGCTCCGACCGAGCTCATCATCAGACGTGTTTCATTTGCCATCAGAAAGCATTTCCAGCAGAGGAATCGCGAGGTAGGGTGTCTTCGTTTGCGATCTCGTGCATTTCCCATCGCCCTCGGGAGCTTGTATCCGTGTGTTCTCCTGCGGCCGTGAGCGAGCTCCTATTCCCCGTGCCTCGTCAAGCAGTGACTCTCTCCTGCCTGATGACGAGCTAAAAACTGCATTTCTCTATAAAAGTGTGGGTGCCCGCGGGGCGTGTGTCCGTGCTGCTGCACGCGCCCAGCCTGGCGCTGGCTGGAGCAGGTGCGTGCTGACCCGGTGGGCAGCGTCGGGGCCTGGCGCTGCCCTTTACCGTCTCCGTGACCCCAGGGGAAGTTGCTGTGCTTCTCTGCACCTCTGTTTCGTGGGCGTGAGGCGCGTCTGGTAAACACTCCTGCCCGAGGCAAGGAGTAGCCTGAAGGGCCAGTGCAGCCCCCACGTGAAATCGCTCTGCTGGTGCCATAACGTCTCAGTTAAGGGAGGATGCCACTATCACAGACAGGGGGCATTTTCTAATAAATGTGAACTACGAAATATAAATGTAGCAAAGCAATGCCGCATAAAGTCCCCGAGGCCCCCGCTAAAGCTGTGACGTCACGCCCGTTGACAGAGCCGCCGCCGGCTACGTGTCCCGTGGACACACGTGTTGCTAGAACTTCCTCTCATAGCTCAAATCTATAAACGAGAAACTACATAGCCAACCGAATCCAACGGAGGTGGCCTCTGGGGAACATACCGTTCCAGACATCAGCTGGGCATGGCGTCAGCTGCAGCGGCGGACCGAGGCCCTTTGTGCTTGGAATCACGGGAGGAGGGAAGGGCAGGGCGAGCATCGCAGCGATGTCTTCGCACGAGCAGGGGTCCCAGAGAGCACGTCCGCAGGCCCCTGCGTGTTCCTACATGTCACGCTGTTCTCGACGTGCAGGTGAAAGCGAACCGGGGAAGTGGCTGGTGAGCCAGCGCGGGGACGCACCGTGCGTCCCATAGGACCATCGGCTCTCGCGATTCACGTGTCAGATTAAATCTACGCTACGTACCTTCTTTATGGAAGGCCGGCATTGCTCCCTCAGGCTCAGTCTTTACTGGTGCCCTTTCTTAATGGAGTGCAGGGATGCAAGAATTCTATTCAGATCTTGATTTTTCGGAGAATTTTGGAATGCGCGATAGCCTAACCAGCTCATCCTGAATACGGTCTGAAAAATTCGAATTTCCGACGGTGGCTTTTTATTTTATTAACTTTCTTGGAAAATAAAAATAAAAATAAAGAGAGAGAATGACAGAGTGTTGGGGGCCTCTCTTAATGGTCCGATCTTCCCAAGACGTGGACGCATTTCCTCAGGATGCTTTTCTAGGACAACAGACTTCAAATGAAACAACAAATCTCTACCGAGACCTTTTCACGCACATACGTGGATAAGTGAGAACAGCACCCAGGCACATTGCTCCCCGTGGCGTCCCTCTGGCTTCTGCCATTGCTAGCGGCTGGCGACCGGGAGGCAGCATGAATTTCAGGAGGGCACAGGCTCCAGGTTTTAAACGTTCATCCCTCTGGGGCTCAACGGCCAGCCTCAGGGAGGTCCGAGCAAAGCGGCGTGTCCTCTGCCGCATCCGCGGTCGACTGACGAGGACACTACCTCTTTCTCACGGTCGGTCGCTCTGTGATTCTTGAAATTGCTTCTGGCTTTAGGAGCTGCCCAGGCCTCCGGGCACTGTCTCCCCACGCCCCCTCGCCGTCGTCCCGAGCTGAAGGGCGCCATTCCCTTCTTATTAAGAGACCGTGGGAGAGCCACGGACAGCCGCTGAAGGCCGCCGTGCGAGTCCGTGTGCCCTGACAGCAGCAGAGGATTCAGCCGCCGCACCGGCCCGCACTTGTACAATCTCCACCCGAATCAGGATACAGACCAGTTTTGTCAGCCCCTAAAATGGTGCCTTTGTAGTCAGTCATACTCTCTTCCGCGCCAACCCCAACCCTCCAGACGAGGCTCCATCACCATCATTTCACTGTTGAGAATGTCACATAAGTAGAATTATCGCCTTCGTAATCTCCGAGACTGTCGGGGGACTGTGAAACGCCACAGGTTGGCAATGTCAGACGAAGTTAAATATTCACTTATCACGTGACCCAGCAATCCCACTCCTAGGTATTTACACTAGAGAAATAAAATTTACTCTACATAAATGTTTATTACATTAACTCTGTATGTAATTGCAAGGAGCAAACAAACAAACAAAAAAGCTGGAAACAATGTAAGTATCCTTTAGCAGGTGAATGGAGAAACCCCCCACGGTGTATTCATGCAGGGGAGTTCTAACGAGCAAACCCAAGGGACAAACGCTGACCAGAACCACACCGGAAATGACAAGGCGCCACGTCGGGTGAAGTAGCCAGCTTGATTCAGCCATTCCTTTGTGGCAGACACATTCGATGCACGTATGAAGCTGCAGACTCTTAGCCAGGGCTGAAGAGAGAGCTGCACAGAGCTCTCAAGCGCACTGTGACGTTCCCAGCAGCCTCAGCATTGTGAAGTCGCTGCGTCGTGTGGGGGCCACTGGCCTTTAAAGAGCACTGGCTCATTTTCCTGCGGAAGAGGCTGGAGTTTCTCCTGAGGCAGCGTGCCCGGATGTAGGGAAGGAACAGATGCATAATCAAAGGTCGCTTGCTTCATTCGGGTTTGCGGCTCAACCTTTCTCCCGACTGCAGTAAGACTCATCAGACCACTGTAGGCAAGGCAGCACCCCTCACTGAAATCGTAGAAAAGACAATGGAATTTTAGATCTGAATAACTCAAGATAATTTAACGTAATTATTTCATAGATGAGGGAATTGACATAGAGGTTATTATAATTTTGCTAAGGTAATGGGGTGAATTAATAACAGAGTTATTAGAAAACCCCAGATGCCAAGTCTTCAGTGTGCCAAGATGAAACGAAGGTTGACATCCTTACTTGGGAATAATCCTATAAATATAAACATGTAGTTTTTGCAGTAAACGCATAAATGAAAATATAAATTAATCATTTATGCATTTATTCTAAAATTTTCCATGTTATATGCCAGAGTCTGGGGATACAAAGACCAAGAGACATGAGCTTTCTCTTGAGAGAGCTCAGGGTTTGGTAGGGGACAGACGTCGAGGGAGAAGCCTGTGATACGTGAGTCTCAAGTGAAGTTCCCACGGGCTTCTGTGGTAACCAGCACATGAATGTCCCCATGTGGCCTCACACAGCCTCAGAAGTGCCCCCGAGACCCTCAGTCTCAAAGATTCTTCGATGTTATCGAGGAAGGATGGACAACCGAGGCAGGAATTCCAGTCTTTGCCAAAACCTGGAAGCCGAGAAAAGCCAGCAGTTCTGGAGAACGGTTAAAAAGCCAGGGCGTGTGGCCCAGGCTGGGGATTCTAGCAGCAAGGGACAGACGATGGAGAGCTAGACCCCTTACATACGACGGCTTCGCTCCCCAGAGAACACGCGATTATGGTTCTCTAACGGATAAACCAAATCACTTAGTGTTTCATTAGAATAATTTCATCTTTCAGTTTAGATCAAAACATGATGTACTATAAAGTCAGTTTGGGAGAAAACGAAATTGTTTTAAAGAAAGCATATGTGTGTAATGAGACTGCGAAACTATTTTATCAAAACCAGAATTTTAGTTTTTAGTTATAAATTATTGAAAAACGATCCTGTTTCAAACAGACGAGCAGTTGCAAACTGTAACAGTAACACTTGTTTCTTTGTTTTAAACAAATCGTTTGTGAGTGCTGACAACTAAAATAGCACTGGATCTAGGAGGTCACCCTCCCAGCCCGAAGGGGACTGAGTCCCACAGAAGGAAGATGGCCACACACAGCTTCTCTGGTGCTTCGTGCGCAGTCTGGCGTTGAATCAAAATGACCTGAAAGGCCCAGAAACAGACCCCGGTGACGAAGAGATGGACAATAGGAAAGGACGAGCTATGCAGACATCGCAGTTATCATCCAGGGACTTGGATGATGAACTACAATTCACGTGTTAAAGAAAATAAACGAAATTATCAAAGAATGTGCCAGAAAGCTATCTATAACAGGAAATCAAATGGAAGTGTGAAAATTCAAGAAATTGAAAATACAATATCTGTAATAAAGACCTTGATATATATGGTTTGAATTGGAAGATAGTTTAGTAGAAAACATTGAAAATGAAGTGGAAAACAATGTGTGTACAGAACGTATGTACAGAATGTATAACTGGAGTTCCAGAGAAGAAAGAAGCGAATGAGGCATCACCAATATTTGAAGACATAATTGCCAATCAGTTACTAATACCAATCACACATCGAGGTAGAGATTCAAGAAATTCTACCAGTCAGGATAATACGGAGAAAGCCTCATCCTGGCACATTGTAATAAATCTTCTGAAAAATAACACAAGTTCTTAAAAGCAGCATGAATAAAGAAACAGTTTCAAAAGACTAAGTGTGAGCTCAAGAGAAGTCTTCTCAATAGAAACAAAAGACGTAAAAAGACAACAGAACGACATCTTTGACTGTTGGAAAAAAAAATTAGATAAAGATAAAAGCGATAAATACGCACAAATGAGTAATCAAAAAAGGGAAAACAATAGAATTAAGTGTAATATCAGGTATGTAGTAAGAACTGATCGGATAAAACTAATATAAATAAACTGATTAAAATAATACGAAACAGTCTACAGCGCTTACAAGAGACAAACGTAATGCGCATGCGTAGAACAGTTGGGCGGGGCTTCCGAGCACGGAGCGCGGCGGCCGACACTGGGCATGCGCAGTCCGCGCTCGGGGCCTGCGGCGCTGCGGGAAGCGCGCGCTTTGGGAAGACGGATGCCCCGAGCCAGGGAAACGACCCGTCCCACCGGAAGAGAGGAGCAAAGTTCTCGGGCCAGGAGTTCACACCCGGCGGCTGCGCGTCACTCTCCGAAACACCGTCTTTGGTTCCGACGTGCGGGGGGGCGTTGCGCGAGCTCCCGCGCGCCTTCCCGGGAGGACCCGGGTGCTCCATCCCGCCGGGGGGCGCCGCTGCTGCGACGGACAGAGCACGGGACGGATGGGGCAGGCCGTGCGTTCGGAGCCCCGGAGCCGCTCGGCCGAGGGCAGAGGTACCTGTTGCGTCAGACACATTCGTTTTGGCTGAACTGGCTTCTTTCTTGCACGTTTCCTATGTCCACATGCCTTCCTGTGGGCCCGCCGCGCGGGGTCCGTGTCCCTGGTCACTGGCCGACACTGGGCCGTGCCCCTGTTTGGCTCATATGCTAGGAGCGCTTCATTGAAATGTCCGTTCGGAATGGCCTGGACATTAACATGCAGAGAAAATGTTCAGCGGATTTGCCGAATCTGTTTCAGCTGCGCACGCTGTGCGTCCTGTGGGTGATCTCAGTGTGTGCTCACCTTTGGTTACCTGTATACATGTTACACCTAAGTTTTTTTTTAGAGCAGTTTTATGTTCAGAGCAAAATCGAGAGGAAGGTACGGGGTCTCCCGTACAGTCCCCGACCTCCCACGAGAACAGCCTCCCCCATTGCGACGTCCCGCTCCAGAGGGGACGTGGGTGATGACTGGAGCGCCGGCACCCAGAGTCCGCAGCTCACCTGAGCGCTCACTCTCGGTCTCGTGCGCTGTGTGGGCTCAGACAAATGTGTAATGACACGTGTGTGTCATCGTCGTCTCGCTGCCCTAAAAATCCCGTGCTCCCGATTTATCCCTCCACGTCCTCTGACGACCTTTGACTGTCCCCATAGTGTCGCCTTTTCCAGAATGTCATCGACTTGGAATCACACAGGATGTAGCTTTTCCAGATGGACGATTTTCACTTAGTAACACGCTTCTCATCTTCTTCCAGGGCTTTTCATGTCTTGTAAGCTCATTTCTTTTTAGGGCTGAATAATATTCCGTCGTATACTGCACTTTTGAAAGAGATTTTGTGGTAAAGGTACATGCTAACCCCTGACTAGACATTCTGAGCACTCTGTGAGTGAACCGGGACATGCATCAGCTTAGAGATGCTTTCACGTGGGTGGCGTGGGTGCTGTATGACGGTGCCCTCCGTCAGGTATGACTCTCCACCACATCGGGTGACAGCCCCTCCCGCTTTTCCCAGAACTGTCTCAGTGTTAGCACTGAAAGTCTTGCACCAGGAGAAGGCCTTCGGTTTCAGACAAACAGGGTGGTTGGATGCCCTGTTGATTTTTAAAATAAAAGATACAGATTCGCAGTTCCAGAATAGAGTAATTACTGTAAAACACAAGTATTACTGAGGTTTAAACAGGAATGTAAATTACACATGGCTATTGATGCTCTGAAGGAGGGTCTTGCTATATGTACATATGGCTTGTTTAAGTAGCAGGACACCCCCCGACCCCGGCCCCTTGCAGGTAAAAGTGGCAATAGCCAGTGCCTTAAGTAACGCTGTGACGTTTCCCTCCTGTGCAGACTCACCGGCTCCAGCGTCCCCGACCTCATCGTGAGCATGAGCAACCAGATGTGGCTGCATCTCCAGTCCGACGACAGCATCGCGTCCCCGGGATTCAAAGCCGTTTACCAAGGTAGGGCCGGAGGACGCGTTTCTGCAGAGGGTGCGGGCCGTCCTCTCCCCGGTAAACAGAAGTGAAATCAAAGTCAGAGCGATGTTTAAAAAATGTAAAAATAGAGCTGTATCGTTCCAGTTTCCGTAGTTAAGGTCCAACTCTCAGGGCCATTGCTGTGAAGGAGAATTTTAACGTTTTGCAGGCCTGGCTTGGCGTCATGTGTTTCATCATTGCATCGACTCAATCGTTAAGACTAAGTACAGGGTGTGATGTATGGGATGTGTGTGCACGTGTGGACCTCGGCATTTATCCTCCCGAGGGGGAGGTCGTGCTCGTGACTTAGGGAGACTCGTTCCGAAGGAAGCATGGATGTGCGTGGCATTGATCCGATGAAGCTGGATTACACGCATCCTCGTGCACAGCGGTGTGGGCTGTTTCTGGGGGAGGCAGGGACACCGCTCAGTGCACATGTGGGAGGAGGACACTCGCTGGGGGCGCGGGAGCGGGGATCGCGGGAGCGGGGACCGTGGGAGCGGGGACCGCAGGAGCGGGGACCATGGACCGCCGTGGGCAGAGAGCGCTCCTTCGGGGCGGGGCTTCATCTCGGAGGAGCCTGGTCCTGAGAGCAGCCGGCCGGTGGAGGGCAGGCCCGCACCGCCCCACGAGCCCAGGGCGCTGCTCCCTGTGCCCCTGTCTCGAGGCCCCTGCCTGGTGCCCCTCCGTGTGCCATCGGGGAGGACTCCTAGGGAAGCAGGCATCTTCCGCTTTTGCCTATTGATTGGTATTTTGCAATACTTTTTTATTCTGGAAAATTTCAAAATGAAAGCAGAAATAGAAAGAACGGTGCGATGCACCTGGCATGGTCCGTATGTGCACGTTTCTGCCGGCCGTTCCCAGGTCTGGCCACTGACTCAGGCCCTGGCTCGACACGTAGCTGTGAGAGCCGGATGCCCGCCTAGCTGTCAGCCTCGGGGCAGGCCAGCCTCTCCTCGGGCACCCTCAGACACCTTAGGGGACAGCAGTGCTAGGTCCCACTCTGAGACACTCCCAGGCACTTACGGACGCATAGCCACAGCGAACTAGGGGTCATTTTACCCAGATCGACAAGGACCTATGGGCGTCTTGAACCGCAGCTGTAGCCACAAGAAGCCTTTCGGCATTGACTATCTTGCAAACACCTGTGGGCTGATAATTATTTTACCAAAGTAACCAGGAAATTGCATTTTTTAACCCACCCAGATATTTTTACTAAAATACACACACAAATTCGTTATTGAAAAGAAACCACATTTATAAACTATAATCTAAGAAAATATACAGTAGGCGTTCAGAATAAAACATAAATGTATGTTTCACATAACTACCTAAATTTTCAAAATTTTAGATACTTTCGATACGTTTCAAAATTCGAAGGAACTAACAAATTATAAAATTCTGTGACACCATAGAAATGCCCATTATTTACGTTATTTTGCTGTAGGAACAGTGTTCAAATGAAAGGAAGAATTCATTTGTAAGGTATTGTCAGGAAAAAAAATTAGGAAATAGACCTGGAGAAAAAAACGTTTCTAGGCAACACTTCAGCCTTCGGTCCACTCCTGGGCATCTGCCTCCGTAGCATCCGCGCCTTGCCGTCCCTGCGCGGTTTCTCAGTGCCGACAGCTTGGGGAAGCGGCAGCCGTGCCTGGATTTTGTGGGCAGGCGCTGCAGTCAGTCGACGCCCTGCGGATGCCGGCGACGTTGCACCCAGGAGCACTCATTTCGTGTCCCCAGGGCTCTGGGCACGCACGGTCTTTGGATTCTCCTCTGGAATGGTTTTTAGAATATCTTACTGGTTCTGTCATGAATTACTGAGTTCATCACGTCTTTGACATGATGGGTGCGTGCATATACAGGTGAAAATGAGCAATGTTCATCTGAAGAGTTGGGATTTTACTTCTCTTCAATTTCACTGTGTGAATTTGAGTGAGGAGATAACATGCTCTTCTTTTCCAAGTGTGTACTGTAGAGCAAGGTCCCTAACCCCCCAGACGTGGACCCGTACCAAAGTGGCCTCTTAGGAACGGGCCGCACAGCAGGAGGGGAGTGGGTGGGCGGGCGGGCGAGCAAACTTCATCTGTATCTGCAGCCGCGCCCCAGCGCCGGCATCACCGCCTCTGTTTCACCTCAGATCCTCAGGCATCAGATTCTCATAGGAGCACTGGCCCCTGGTGCCACAAAGGTCGGGGACCACTGCTCCAGAGTACCCAGGAGCTGAAGACGTAACAAGAAGGCATTGCACGTCGAGCCCATGAGGCAGATAATGAAGGTGCATCTACCAACCTCAAAACAATAAGCACCTTGGGCGCCAGTGTCCTGAGTTAGGTGGGCAAACACATCCTGGTGTGCCTGTGCTCTTCCCTGTGGGTCGAAGGGGTCCCAGCCCCACCGTGACAAAGCCCCGTGGTGAGGACAGGGCCTGACATGATGTCCTCATCCTCAGAGTGTGAAAGATGCCTCCTTGCTGGAAACACAGGGAGGGGCGACTTAGTGACTTTTTAAAATAAGGAGCACGACAGCAAAATATGGTATTTACACCCCAAAGGTTAGGGCTGGAATGTGCAGATCACGGCTGAGGACGTCCTGACATTGGCAGGTTTAGACTTTACCTTACCTGGACTTCCGCGTGACTGTGCCGTTCAGGAAGGCCTGCCTCGCACGGGCCCTGCACTTCGCTGCCTCCGCGGACATCCGAGAGCCCGGTGGAGAGCCAGCACGTGAGGACAGCGGGGCAGGTGGCCGTGAAGGGACTGAGCAGCATGAAGACACGCGTCCGACCGCGACGGCACGGAGCCTGGGGCGGCGGCGCCTGTCCTGACTCCTGGGCCCGGAACCGATGACTCTCACTGCAGCGTCATTGTCCCTCCAGGTGTCGTATTTCAGCCTGACCGACCATGGCACCGACTGTAATTACCCGACGACCATGGCACCGGCTGTAA